CTTCATCGTCGTTCGCGTCATCGGTATTTTCATTGTCCTCGTACCCTTCTGGCCTTCGTTCTTATTTTTGTCCTTGTATGCGCCCTCGTCTTCGTCTTCGTCGTCGTCCTTCCCGTCGCTCGCGTCATCGTTCTTTCCATCGTCCTCGTCTTCGTCTCCATCGTCGCCCTCGTCCTCCTGATCTTCTCTCTCGTCTTCTTTCTCGTTTTCATTGTTGCTCTTCCCGTCGCTCGCGCCATCGTTCTCTCCGTCGTCCTTGTCATCGTTTTCATCGTCGGCTTCATCGTCGCTCGCGCTCTTGTTCTTCCAATCGTCTTCGTAGACATCTCCGTCTACCGTCTTTCCTCCTATCGCGACTTCCGGAACCGCTTCCTGCATCTCTTCACCGTCACTTGCTTGCGGCAACCCGTTCGATCCTGCGTTCCTCTTCTGGATCGCGTCGGTCTCCCCGTTCCCTGCGTGATAAAAATCGAAGTATTTCTCACCTCCGTCCTCACGTTGGTTCGTCCTCACGTTGGTTCTCACTTTCGTCTTCAACTTCGTCTTCAACTTCGTCTACAACTCCGTCTGCAACTCCGTCAGCAACTCCTTCTGCAACTCCACCTGCAACTCCGCCTGCAACTTCGTCCTCAATTTCGTCTTCAACTTCGTCTGCAACTTCGTCCTCAATTTCGTCTTCAACTTCGTCTTCAATTTCGTCCTCAATTTCGTCTTCAAGTTCGTCTTCAATTTCGTACTCAGTTTCGTCCTCAATTTCGTCATCAACTTCATCCTCAACTTCGTCTTCGACTTCATCCTCAACTTCGTCTTCGACTTCATCCTCAACTTCGTCTTGAACCTTGTCCTTGAAACGAGCTGTTACCCACGGATGTCCGAATTCTGATATAAGTTTGCTCTTAAATTTTTGCCATGATCCACCCATGCCTGAACACGGAATGAATATTAGTGCGGCTCCACGAAGTAGCCTTTTGGCGTAACAGTCGCCACTCTTGGTTAGGTTTGGTTAGATTAGGTTAAGGTATATTTCACTTTTGTGCTATGCACTGCAATTCGGTGGATGCCTGCACTCTACTCTGCCCTAGTATAATCTACTTGGCTTTGGGGATGCCAGAAGTAGTGTTCGCTGTACGTTATGTTGAGTTAGATTACGTTTGGCTTTGTTACGATTGGTTACGTTGGGACCGGATACCTTCGACTTTTGTGCTCTACACTGCAATACGGCGGATTTATTAGCTGCACTGTGCTTTAATATTTTCTGGTTGTCTCTCCGGAGGGCAGCAATAGTGGTCCCGGCACGTTCGTTTGGGATCCTTTTTGTTTGGTCGGGTTAGGGTAGGCTATGTTTGGTGTGGATTCCTTTGACTTTCGCGCTGTGCACTGCCTTTCGATTGATTCCAGTGATCGACAGTGCCCTACTACATACTGCTTGGCTCCGGGGATGCCAGCAATAGTGGTCTCGGCGCGATATGTTTAGTTAGCCTACGTTTGCTTATGACACGTTTGGTCGTATTAGGAGAGAATAGCGTAGACTCTTGTGCTACACATTGCTATTCGGTGGATTTCTGCCCTCTACTGCGCTCTAATGATTACTGCTTGGCTCTGCGGCTGCCACAAATGGTGTTCTCGGCGCATTAGTTTGAGTTATTCTA